AAAAAACAAAAAAACCCTTATATATTAGACATTCTATCAGCCAATGAGGGGTTCCTATCTTGTTTAGTCAGTGAGGAAATGCATATTAAAATCACAATGAAAATTATTACATAAGCACTTGGATGTTTGAAATAAAAATTTAAAAAAGGTGATCGGCAAAAATAAGTAAAAGGTTATCTCACAGGAATGAAGAAGGCACCCAAACGTCTAGGAGCATTGTCCAGGCTTCTGGTAATGTTGTTATGTGTCGAGTCGTCCGCAACCCATAACAACACTGTGTACAACAGAATGAAACACTGCACGGCCCTACACCATCCTCACGTGCTTCTAGGGAGTCAATTTTAACAAATACTAAAAACCTCTCTGTTCAGAAAAATACAAAAAAACCTTCAAGCTGATAGGAATAAAGGTATTTGTGTGTGTTCCAAATACTGGAAAGTATTTTGTTATTCAACGCCCAACAGAAAATTCAAGTTTTCATTTCCCCTAAGGCCACTGAAAACGGAGCTCCCTTTTCACGTACAGCTGCACACATCACGTAATTTTCCCCTAGCTACAAGTAACATATCATTAAGGATGGTGAATCACCTCCCTCTCTCCCAGCCCAGGTGCAGGCCTAGAAACGCACCAGGCTTGCAACGCCTCGCTCGCGCATGCGCACACCCGTCAAAGGGCCGTTGGCGCCAAAACCGCGCAGGCGCACTGGCCGCAGCGTCGGCAGCTACGGCTTGCGGCAGCGCGCGGAGCGGGCGGGCCTCTCTCCCACTAACTGCGGCTTTTGGCAGCGCCATTTTGTTCCTGCACCCGCGGCGTGCGTGAGTCCGGGGAAGGCGAGGCTGCCAGCTCGGTCCCCTCTCCTCCAGGGCGCCCTCCGTTCCGGTCGTTCTTTCTCTAACCTTGTATCTCGGGACAGAGGCATAGTCCGGGCCCGAAGCGAAGGCAGTTAAGATGATGTCGAGAGGAAACCTGAAGCAAGTGCGCATCGAGAAGAACCCGGCCCGCCTTCGCGCCCTCGAGTCGGCGGCGGGCGACAACGACCCGGCGGCCGCGGCGGCGCTGGCGCTGGCCATGGCCGGGGAGCAGGCGCCGCCCGTCGCGGCGTCGGAGGAGCACCCCGAGGAGGAGGTGGGGTTCACCATTGACATTAAGAGCTTCCTCAAGCCGGGCGAGAAGACCTACACGCAGCGCTGCCGGCTCTTCGTGGGCAACCTGCCCACCGACATCACCGAGGAGGATTTCAAGAGGCTCTTCGAGCGCTACGGCGAGCCCAGCGAGGTCTTCATCAACCGCGACCGCGGCTTCGGCTTCATCCGACTGGTGAGTGGGCCGCGCGCCGCGGCACGCGCCCGACCCCGGCGAATAAACAAAGTGGGGGGAGGGTTGTTGTCCCCGGGGTGGAGGCGGGGGGGGTTGGGAGAGAGAGGAGGAGACCTCCGCCCCGCTCAGCCCGGGCCGATGTCTCCAGCCACCGCTCAGAAAGGTCTTTTGTGGCCTTTTCCGGGAACCGTCTTTTCCGATTCCTTCCCGGGGGGGCGGGGGGAGTTAGGGTGGGGGGCATTGCCCTCTTCCCGAGTCCAGCTGTTCCACCTTTGAT